CAACCAACTAAACATCGTGGCTCACCAAACACTTACCAGTCAGTTACTCAACCAACTAAACATCGTGGCTCACCAAAACACTTACCAGTCAGTTGCTCAACCAACTAAACATCGTGGCTCACCAAACACTTACCAGTCAGTTACTCAACCAACTAAAATCGTGGCTCACCAAACACTTACCAGTCAGTTGCTCAACAACTAAACATCGTGGCTCACCAAACACTTCCCAGTCAGTTGCTCAACCAACTAAACATCGTGGCTCACCAAACACTTACCAGTCAGTTACTCAACCAACAAAAACATCGTGGTTCACCAAACATTACCAGTCAGTTACTCAACCAACTAAACATCGTGGCTCACCAAACACTTACCAGTCAGTTACTCAACCAACTAAACATCGTGGCTCACCAAACACTTACCAGTCAGTTACTCAACCAACTAAACATCGTGGCTCACCAAACACTTACCAGTCAGTTACTCAACCAACTAAACATCGTGGTTCACCAAACACTTACCAGTCAGTTACTCAACCAACTAAACATCGTGGCTCACCAAAACACTTACCAGTCAGTTACTCAACCAATAAACATCGTGGCTCACCAAACACTTACCAGTCAGTTGCTCAACCAACTAAACATCGTGGCTCACCAAACACTTACCAGTCAGTTGCTCAACCAACTAAACATCGTGGTTCACCAAACACTTACCAGTCAGTTACTCAACCAACTAAACATCGTGGTTCACCAAACACTTACCAGTCAGTTACTCAACCAACTAAACATCGTGGTTCACCAAACACTTACCAGTCAGTTACTCAACCAACTAAACATCGTGGTTCACCAAACACTTACCAGTCAGTTGCTCAACCAACTAAACATCGTGGTTCACCAAAACACTTACCAGTCAGTTACTCAACCAACTAAACATCGTGGTTCACCAAACACTTACCAGTCAGTTACTCAACCAACTAAACATCGTGGTTCACCAAACACTTACCAGTCAGTTGCTCAACCAACTAAACAGTCCTGATCCTTCCCGCCCTCATTCCCCATACTAATGTAGTCTTAAACTCCTAATAAACTTTCATACGAAAGTATCCCATCATAGAATAAAACCTTTGTCAAAATATATGTAAAAAATAGATATATTTGTAACTCTATATGAATGTTTTATCCTGGAATATTAACTCTGGAAATAAACCTAACAGGAGATTTATTTTAGGTTTATTTATGACTGTATACGAATGTTTTTTTTTCCTGAAATATTAACTCTGGAAATAAACCTAACAGGAGATTTATTTTAGGTTTATTTATGACTGTATACGAATGGTTTTTTTCCTGAAATATTAACTCTGGAAATAAACCTAACAGGAGATTTATTTTAGGTTTATTTATGACTGTATACGAATGTTTAATCGTGGAATATTAACTCTGGAAATAAATTTAGATGGTGATGTGTTGTGGCGGTGTTTCAGGTGATCAATACGACGATCATGAAGGATTTGCACGACATTAATCAGAAGGTGATGGCGAAGACACTGGAGCTGCGTCGGGAGAGAGTACGTCTGATCCAGGAGAAGGTGAGACGTATTGAGTGCCATCCCAGAACGTGAGTGTGACGCAACACAGGCAGGGGTGAACCACGGGTGTGACGCAACACAGACAGGGGTGAACCACGGGTGTAACGCGACACAGGCAGGGGTGAACCACGGGTGTGACGCAACACAGGCAGGGGTGAACCACGGGTGTGACGCAACACAGGCAGGGGTGAACCACGGGTGTGACGCAACACAGGCAGGGGTGAACCACGGGTGTGACGCGACACAGGCAGGGGTGAACCACGGGTGTGACGCGACACAGGCAGGGTTGAACCACGGGTGTGACGCAACACAGGCAGGGGTGAACCACGGGTGTGACGCAACACAGGCAGGGGTGAACCACGGGTGTGACGCAACACAGGCAGGGGTGAACCACGGGTGTGACGCAACACAGGCAGGGGTGAACCACGGGTGTGACGCAACACAGGCAGGGGTGAACCACGGGTGTGACGCAACACAGGCAGGGGTGAACCACGGGTGTGACGCAACACAGGCAGGGGTGAACCACGGGTGTGACGCAACACAGGCAGGGGTGAACCACGGGTGTGACGCAACACAGGCAGGGGTGAACCAGGGGTGTGACGCAACACAGGCAGGGGTGAACCACGGGTGTGACGCAACACAGGCAGGGGTGAACCACGGGTGTGACGCAACACAGGCAGGGGTGAACCACGGGTGTGACGCGACACAGGCGGGGTGAACCACGGGTGTGACGCGACACAGGCAGGGGTGAACCACGGGTGTGACGCGACACAGGCAGGGGTGAACCACGGGTGTGACGCGACACAGGCAGGGTGAACCACGGGTGTGACCGCACACAGGCAGGGGTGAACCACGGGTGTGACGCGACACAGGCAGGGGTGAACCACGGGTGTGACGCGACACAGGCAGGGGTGAACCACGGGTGTGACGCAACACAGGCAGGGGTGAACCACGGGTGTGACGCAACACAGGCAGGGGTGAACCACGGGTGTGACGCAACACAGGCAGGGGTGAACCACGGGTGTGACGCAACACAGGCAGGGGTGAACCACGGGTGTGACGCAACACAGGCAGGGGTGAACCACGGGTGTGACGCGACACAGGCAGGGGTGAACCACGGGTGTGACGCAACACAGGCAGGGGTGAACCACGGGTGTAGTGCAACACAGGCAGGGGTGAACCACGGGTGTGCCGCAACACAGGCAGGGGTGAACCACGGGTTGTGACGCGACACAGGCAGGGGTGAACCACGGGTGTGACGCAACACAGGCAGGGGTGAACCACGGGTGTAGTGCAACACAGGCAGGGGTGAACCACGGGTGTGCCGCAACACAGGCAGGGGTGAACCACGGGTGTGACGCGACACAGGCAGGGGTGAACCACGGGTGTGACGCGACACAGGCAGGGGTGAACCACGGGTGTGACGCAACACAGGCACGGGTGAACCACGGGTGTGACGCAACACAGGCAGGGGTGAACCACGGGTGTAGTGCAACACAGGCAGGGGTGAACCACGGGTGTAGTGCAACACAGGCAGGGGTGAACCACGGGTGTAGTGCAACACAGGCAGAGATATACAACTCTCAGCGTATATACACGGAGATATACAACTCTCAGCGTATATACACGGAGATATACAACTCTCAGCGTATATACACGGAGATATACAACTCTCAGCGTATATACACGGAGATATACAACTCTCAGCGTATATACACGGAGATATACAACTCTCAGCGTATATACACGGAGATATACAACTCTCAGCGTATATACACGGAGATATAAAAACTCTCAGCGTATATACACGGAGATATACAACTCTCAGCGTATATACACGGAGATATACAACTCTCAGCGTATATACACGGAGATATACAACTCTGTGTTTATACATTGGAATAAGTCTTTCCTCTAGTCTTTATACCTTTGTCATATATTCTTTATATAGATGAACCGTCCAAATGTCCAGTTTCCAGCTGTGTGCCAGCTGGTGTAGTGACTTACTGTGTGCCAGCTGGTATAGTGACTTACTGTGTGGCAGCTGGTATAGTGACTTACTGTGTGGCAGCTGGTGTAGTGACTTACTGTGTGCCAGCTGGTGTAGTGACTTACTGTGTGCCAGCTGGTGTAGTTGACTTACTGTGTGGCAGCTGGTGTAGTGACTACTGTGTGGCAGCTGGTGTAATAACTTACTGTGTGGCAGCTGGTGTAGTGATTTACTGTGTGGTAGCTGGTGTAGTGACTTACTGTGTGCCAGCTGGTGTAGTGACTTACTGTGTGGCAGCTGGTGTAGGGACTTACTGTGTGGCAGCTGGTGTAGTGACTTACTGTGTGGCAGCTGGTGTAGTGACTTACTGTGTGGCAGCTGGTGTAATAACTTACTGTGTGGCAGCTGGTGTAGTGATTTACTGTGTGGTAGCTGGTGTAGTGACTTACTGTGTGCCAGCTGGTGTAGTGACTTACTGTGTGCCAGCTGGTGTAGTGACTTACTGTGTGCCAGCTGGTGTAGTGACTTACTGTGTGGTAGCTGGTGTAGTGACTTACTGTGTGGCAGCTGGTGTAGTGACTTACTGTGTGGCAGCTGGTGTAGTGACTTACTGTGTGGCAGCTGGTGTAGTGACTTACTGGTGTGGTAGCTGGTGTAGTGACTTACTGTGTGGCAGCTGGTGTAGTGACTTACTGTGTGGCAGCTTGTGTAGTGACTTACTGTGTGGCAGCTGGTGTAGTGACTTACTGTGTGGTAGCTGGTGTAGTGACTTACTGTGTGGCAGCTGGTGTAGTGACTTACTGTGTGGCAGCTGGTGTAGTGACTTACTGTGTGGTAGCTGGTGTAGTGACTTACTGTGTGGTAGCTGGTGTAGTGTACTACTGTGTGGCAGCTGGTGTAGTGACTTACTGTGTGGCAGCTGGTGTAGTGACTTACTGTGTGGCAGCTGGTGTAGTGACTTACTGTGTGGCAGCTGGTGTAGTGACTTACTGTGTGGCAGCTGGTGTAATGACTTACTGTGTGCCAGCTGGTGTAGTGACTTACTGTGTGCCAGCTGGTGTAGTGATTTACTGTGTGGCAGCTGGTGTAGTGACTTACTGTGTGCCAGCTGGTGTAGTGACTTACTGTGTGGCAGCTGGTGTAGTGACTTACTGTGTGGCAGCTGGTGTAGTGACTTACTGTGTGGCAGCTGGTGTAGTGACTTACTGTGTGGTAGCTGGTGTAGTGACTTACTGTGTGCCAGCTGGTATAGTGACTTACTGTGTGGTAGCTGGTGTAGTGACTTACTGTGTGCCAGCTGGTATAGTGACTTACTGTGTGGCAGCTGGTGTAGTGACTTACTGTGTGGCAGCTGGTGTAGTGACTTACTGTGTGGCAGCTGGTGTAGTGATTTACTGTGTGGCAGCTGGTGTAGTGACTGTGTACCAGCTGGTGTAGTGACCTTACCGTGTGCCAGCTGGTGTAGTGACTTACTGTGTGCCAGCTTGTGTAGTGACTTACAGTGTGCCAGTGGTGTAGTAACTTACTGTGTGCCAGCTTGGTGTAATGACTTACTGTGTGCCAGCTGGTGTAGTGATGTGTACCAGCTGGTGTAGTGACTTACTGTATGCCAGCTTGTGTAGTGACTTACTGTGTGCCGCTGGTGTAGTGACTTTCAGTGTGCCAGCTTGTGTGTGACTTACTGTGTGGCAGCTGGTGTAGTGACTTTTGTACCAACTGGTGTAGTGACTTACTGTGTGCCAGCTGTGTAATGACTTACTGTGTGCCAGCTGGTGTAGTGATGTGTACCAGCTGGTGTAGTGACTTACGTATGCCAGCTTGTGTAGTGACTTACTGTGTGGCAGCTGGTGTAGTGACTTACTGTGTTGCAGCTGGTGTAGTGACTTACTGTGTGGCAGCGGGTTTGTAGTGACTTACTGTGTGGCAGCTGGTGTAGTGACTTACTGTGTGGCAGCTGGTGTAGGGGACTTACTGTGTGGCAGCTGGTGTAGTGACTTATTGTGTGGCAGCTGGTGTAGTGATTACTGTGTGGCAGCTGGTGTAGTGACTTACTGTGTGGCAGCTGGTGTAGTGACTTACTGTGTGGCAGCTGGTGTAGTGACTTACTGTGTGGCAGCTGGTGTAGTGACTTACTGTGTGGCAGCTGGTGTAGTGACTTACTGTGTGGCAGCTGGTGTAATGACTTACTGTGTGGTAGCTGGTGTAGTGACTTACTGTGTGGCAGCTGGTGTAGTGACTTACTGTGTGGCAGCTGGTGTAGTGACTTACTGTGTGGCAGCTGGTGTAGTGACTTACTGTGTGGCAGCTGGTGTAGTGACTTACTGTGTGGCAGCTGGTGTAGTGATTTACTGTGTGGCAGCTGGTGTAGTGACTGTGTACCAGCTGGTGTAGTGACCTTACTGTGTGCCAGCTGGTGTAGTGACTTACTGTGTGCCAGCTTGTGTAGTGACTTACAGTGTGCCAGCTGGTGTAGTAACTTACTGTGTGCCAGCTGGTGTAATGACTTACTGTGTGCCAGCTGGTGTAGTGACTGTGTACCAGCTGGTGTAGTGACTTACTGTATGCCAGCTTGTGTAGTGACTTACTGTGTGCCAGCTGGTGTAGTGACTTTCAGTGTGCCAGCTTGTGTAGTGACTTACTGTGTGGCAGCTGGTGTAGTGACTGTGTACCAACTGGTGTAGTGACTTACTGTGTGCCAGCTGGTGTAATGACTTACTGTGTGCCAGCTGGTGTAGTGACTGTGTACCAGCTGGTGTAGTGACTTACTGTATGCCAGCTTGTGTAGTGACTTACTGTGTGGCAGCTGGTGTAGTGACTTTCTGTGTTGCAGCTGGTGTAGTGACTTACTGTGTGGCAGCTGGTGTAGTGACTTACTGTGTGGCAGCTGGTGTAGTGACTTACTGTGTGGCAGCTGGTGTAGTGACTTACTGTGTGGCAGCTGGTGTAGTGACTTACTGTGTGGCAGCTGGTGTAGTGACTTACTGTGTGGCAGCTGGTGTAGTGACTACTGTGTGGCAGCTGGTGTAGTGACTTACTGTGTGGTAGCTGGTGTAGTGACTTACTGTGTGGCAGTGGTGTAGTGACTTACTGTGTGGCAGCTGGTGTAGTGACTTACTGTGTGGCAGCTGGTGTAGTGACTGGAGGTGTCCCGTCCTCTCTACACACTGTTGATCCATTATATTACTCTCTGATCGCGAGTTCTATCCCCATCCGTGATATGGTTTATCCATTACATTGTTTCAACAGTCCATACTGATTTAACGCTTCCTTGTTTACAGAATAATAATAATAATAATAATAATAATAATAATAATAATAATAATAATAATATTATTATTATTATTATTATTATTATTATTATTTTTATTATTATTATTATTATTATTATTATTATTATTATTATTATTACCGTCTATTCGACTTTATCTGGAGTTGACCAGAAATAAGACTTACTTTGTCTGACTTTTTTGGGTTATCGTGGGTTCGCTACACATGTGCTGCTATGTATGATAATCTGTGTAACTGTCTTTGTGTATACCTGAATAAACTTACTATGTGTACATGTGGAAGCAGTGTTGAGGCAGTGTTGAGGCAGCATTGAGGCAGTGTTGAGGCAGTGTTGAGGCAATGAGGCAGTATTGAGGCAGTGTTGAGGCAGTGTTGAGGCAGTGTTGAGGAAATGAGGCAGTATTGAGGCAGTGTTGAGGCAGTGTTGAGGCAGTGTTGAGGCAGTATTGAGGCAGTGTTGAGGCAGTGTTGAGGCAATGGGGCAGTATTGAGGCAGTGTTGAGGCAGTGTTGAGGCAGTGTTGAGGCAGTATTGAGGCAGTGTTGAGGAAATGAGGCAGTATTGAGGCAGTGTTGAGGCAGTGTTGAGGCAGTGTTGAGGCAGTTTTGAGGCAGTATTGAGGTAGTGTTGAGGCAGTATTGAGGCATTGAGGCAGTATTGAGGCAGTGTTGAGGCAGTGTTGAGGCAGTGTTGAGGCAGTGTTGAGGCAGTGTTGAGGCAGTACTGAGGCAGTGTTGAGGCAGTATTGAGGCAGTGTTGAGGCAGTGTTGAGGCAATGAGGCAGTATTGAGGCAGTGTTGAGGCAGTGTTCAGGCAGTGTTGAGGCAGTGTTGAGGCAGTGTTGAGGCAGTGTTCAGGCAGTGTTGAGGCAGTGTTCAGGCAGTGTTGAGGCAGTATTGAGGCAGTATTGAGGCAGTGTTGAGGCAGTGTTGAGGCAGTGTTGAGGCAGTGTTGAGGCAGTGTTGAGGCAGTGAGGCAGTGAGGCAGTGTTGAGGCAGTGTTGAGGCAATGAGGCAGTATTGAGGCAGTGTTCAGGCAGTGTTGAGGCAGTGTTGAGGCAGTGAGGCAGTGAGGCAGTGTTGAGTGCACTTACTCATCGCTTCCTCTCTCTGGCTGACATTCTCAATATTTCATCACACAATCTATATTCCTCCTGGGGCCTCTTATCGCTTCACTCACACTCACTATGCACTACCATTTATCTCTCCCCTTGTATATTCAATTTATCCAGGTATTTTTTATTGGGATTTGCAATCATTCTCATTTACGCAAGATTACTGCAACATCTGCAAGCATGATCATGTGTGTGTGTGTGTGTGTGTGTGTGTGTGTGTGTGTGTGTGTGTGTGTATGTGCGTGTGTGTGTGTGCGTGTGTGTGTGTGTGTGTGTGTGTGTGTGTGTGTGTGTGTGTGTGTGTGTGTGTGTGTGTGTGTGTGTGTGTGTGTGTGTGTGTGTGTGTGTGTGTGTATGTGCGTGTGTGTGTACTCACCTAATTGTGATTGCAGGGGTCGAGTCACATTTCCTGTACTCACCTAACTGTGGTTCCAGGAGTCGATTCATAGCTCCTGGCCCCGTGTGTGTGTGCATGTTAGAACACTTCCCACCCCCTTCCTCGTATCAGCTGTGCCTCAGGTATATACATTCTCGTGCAGGCACAACAGATGTGGGGCACCAACATCGATCTGGACACCACACTAGGAACAACCAGCGTGGACCTGGATCAGCTTTCCCGGGGTCTGGTTACTGACGGTCAGGCCGTCAAGGTGGACGGAGACGTGAGTCTTGCTCTCTCTTATTGCCTTACCTTCATCAGTCTTTTCACATTATCAGCACAAGTTGGTGGAAAAGCGGTTTCTGTCCCCACATTTAACGAATATGTTAATTCTCGTTTACGAAGCATTAAATGGACACCTGAAAGTCGGTTGAATTTAGTGGGCAGTATTAAAGGGAAATTGTAGCGTACCTTAGATAGAGCTGAGATTCCAACTGAGATTGGGCATAATAACAGCTCTTGGCCTGTAAATACAACGGTGTTAATAAGCAAGACACGTGTACAACAGTTAAGAATCTCTATTCCGAAACGTTTCGCCTATACAGTAGAATTCTTCAATCCCTGGAGAGGGATTCGGAGGTCAGCGTCCCCCGCGGCCCGGTCTGAGACCAGGCCTCGTGGTGGATCAGGATGGTGTAATCAGTCCATCATCCTTGAAGACGTAGTTTTGAGGTGGTCAAGTCCCTCAGCCTGGAGAAGAGTTTTGTTCCATAGACTGAAACGTCATCAAGGCTGACTCCTCTGTACTCGACTGAAGAAGCCTGCTGTGTAGGCGAAACGTTTAGGAATAAAGATACCTAACTGCTGCATATGTGACACATTAACTTGTCAGTACTGTGTATCATTATCATATTCACAACGGCATTAACCTGAGCTAGAGCTCATCTGAATTATCCAATACGAATAAAAAATATATATTCAGCTCGCCGCCCTTGTTGCTAAAAGCTAAGACAATAATTCACAGGATTGTGGTCGGTAATCCTCTGCCACCATTCATTAGTTCTGTGTTGCTGGCACTCTACAGGTGGAGAGCCAGAGGGCTGGCACTCCTCCACCGCTGAGCGAAGACGAGCTGGCACCCATGCCATCCAACACCGTCATATTCGGCAACATGTACGACCATTACCAACGTAAGTGTCACCCATGTTTTATACACGTACCTTTACGATTTTTATTTTTTTTACTCCTCTCGTTTTCTATAGTTCACTTTTCGTTTTTTGAAGTTCGATCTCCGTTTTCTGTAGCACACTCTACGTTTTCTGTACTTTACTCTCCTTTCCGTTCGATTTCCTTTATCGTGCTTTTCATTTCCAGTTGACCTTCACGATCAGATAAAGAATAGTCTCCCAAACCATACCCCGGCTGGGATTGAACCCGCGGTCAGAGAGTCTCAAAACTCCAGCCCGTCTCGTTAGCCACTAGACCAGCTAGCCACAATAAGATTCGTCCAACTAGGTATATTGACGGCAGTGAAGGGACTTGAGCTAGAGTTCGTCACGGCCACGCTAGCTGGAGATTCGTCTGTAAAAACTTGCATTTGTGGTCACAGTGGTGCCTGTGCTAACCTTCCTATGGTGTAGAAATATACCT